TTCTTTGTTTCTTTTTTCTTTTTTTTTCTGCCCCCGTGAAATTCAAGCTATCGAGTCGCGCGTCGTTACATGCGTACGTGATTTTTGAATAGTGTGACAGTTCGTTTGATCGAGTATCTTCGCTGTCTCTGTAAAGTGGGGAGAGGAGGAGGCATCGTACGAGAACACGTGTCCGTTTAGTACACCGTTAATTAATAAGATTCGTTTCTCTTCGAATTGCATAAATATTAAATCGAAGGTGGATAAATTTCATATAATCATGTAAATACCAGAGAGTCCCCTGGTTTTTCACGTATCAGTTTTTTTCACAGTGTTTTCTTGTATGTCAAAAAGAAAACGAAAAAAAAAGCGGTCACGCGATATTCATGCGATACGCGACCACGTGCGCAATACGTCAAGAGTTTCATTGAGAGTTGGTGCGTGCACCTTAACAAGGTATGCTCCTCCGCATTTATTACTAAATCTTCTATCTAGGGTATAATTAATCGAGTTTTAACGGGGCGGCGTTGTGTCATTACCGTTCTTTCTTTCGTTTGCGCGACACATCGTTTAAGACTGAATCATTTTTATGCTAAATAAAAATTCATTTGAATTCAGTCACGTCATTTCTCTCTCGCTAAATACATAATAATGATAGAATATTAAGAAAAACCGCTTCCTATAAACAGTCCTCGTTGCGATAAAGAAGTTGCTAATGTCCGGCAAGATAATCTGAAATTATTTAAATTGCTGGGAAATTATTTTAATCGCTGTGTCCGTACAAATTGCTTTTTCTTCTTTTACTTACGTTAAAGATAGATTACGGTTAAAGGTACGAACGAAATGACAATTGCGTATTAAAAATAACACATGTTACATAACTCGTTCGAATTTCACCGGTAAACATTATATCGGATCGATCGATCAGTCTCGATTTCGGCGATGAATTGCTCTATTTCGCGATCGTGTCTGTGCGTGTGGTTTCGAAAAGATCAATTAAAATTCCCGTATCACATGTATCACGCATACCAGTCCATATTAGTAACGCGGGAATTTTTACATAGTTTATTAAGGATGCGGCTCATGCGTACGAAGAAACTTCTCTTTGTACGAGAAAATATACCGAGGAGATAAATTACATTTTAACGCGCGGTGGTGAAACAAAAGCGGCGGAGATTCGATGGTTGGATATTGCATAGCTGAGAGAGATACGCGAGAAAGGTTGGATGCGATTTTACGTCGAAGGAGGTGAATGCCTCTGAAAAAAAAAAAATTACATGGTCATCGTTCCAATTTCGAAGGATTTCTTCGTGGCGACATTAGCGTTACACAGGATATCCTGTGATTTAATTTTTATTTCCGGGTAACTTTTTTAAATATCGGTAGGTGAATTGCTAATCAGGCAGCAGATAACGCTAATAATACTTTAAAGTAGTAAACATTGTATTAACATAGAGATAAGGTAAACTAACAATAATGTTCCGATGAACAATTCGTAATTAATTCAGTTCTAGCTGTAACATCGAAGTTAACTATCACGTTTCTGTTCCTATTTGTAAAATATGCTATTTATTAACCCTTTCACCACTATTGGCGCCTATAGGCGCTTTGAAAATTTGTTCGTATCGTGCTGTTGGAGCCTTTTGGCGCACTTCTATGTCAATTCAAGCGTTAATTTCATTCTCTGCACTCTTCCACGTTAATTCAGCGAAACAAATTTTAAAATGACACGGCTGAAAAAGAACGTTTGCGGCCGTTGTGGAATATTTGAATTTGCCACGCGCGTTGTGCACTAAAATTTGCCGTAGCCAAAGGGTTAATCCGTTCCAGATCCTTGGACTTATTGACATATTATACATTGATGGGGTTGTATCGAAAGAAAATAATAAGAAAAGAAATCACAAGCGTTACAAACGAAATTCTTTACGAAAGCGTGATTAGATAAAGAAACAAAGTTGTATGTAATCATCGTAAAAATTGTTTTAGAGAAGACGATACATCTTTACATTCGCTGTCTTATGCCTGGTCATACTTTCTACTTATTTCATGCAGGAATAACGTCTCCCATGGTCTTCTTTTCACTTTTCTTATATGGAACTGTCTACGAAAAGCGAACAATTCGTGGACAAGTGAGGTAAATGAAAATTCCGTGCAGCGAGACCGTGCAGCCTTCACCGTTCGATTCTTATTCGTTTTACATCAGCACCGAACTGAAATTCCGTAGATCATTGGATATTCTTGGTTCGTTGCGATCTGGGGAAAACCGGGGGAGGATATTTGCAGGATAAATACACAAAAGCGGCGATACTTTATTTTCGATCGTGATCGGACCGCGGGAAAAGGATCCGCGCGGCGAACATTTGGAAACCCCGCGAAAAACAGAATGTGAAATCTCGCGGTGCGTTAGAAATTCGTATCGAAAAGTTATTCGCGCTACCGCGTTGCAACCTGATTTCTAGATATATTAAAATTAAATACTAATATATGTATCGGTGTCAGAATACTTTCAAGACACATGTCATTCGCCGATGACACCAATATTCCAAGCTTCAGATTTATGTTTCATTATGAAACTATTCTGACATAATCGACCGTGGAGAACGGCCGTAAACGTGTTATTAAAGTTAGCCGAGATTTGTAGAAAAGTTTTCATTTATTTCACCACGATCGGTATATTCTCTTGGGTTTTCTTGCACAACGACAAGTTTCGCCATTACACATATGTATGTGTATATATATATTTTTTTCTTAAACGCGTCTTACCCTCGAGATTTATCGGATGCAGGAAATCGCGAGGTTTCAGCCGACATTTCCTGAAACGTTTCACGTGTGTCGCGCTATTTTGAATGACAATAAGCCGTGAAAATAATGGAGTAGGTGCTTTCAGCGGTGATTCCATTGAAAGTAAGAAGAGGTCAGTGGTCAGTCGCGTATAGAAATGTTCTTATGTGGTCTTGGAAAGTTACCGACCTTGACAGACATTTCATTCTTACATCTTGTATACTTAGCCGTTTCAATTAACTCGTTTTTTCCTTAATTTTTTTAGTTTTACTCTCGCGAATCTCCGTTCTCCACGATCTACACGAACGCAGAGGCGTTCGTTCCTTGTCTCCCACCCATGGAACCGTTCTCATCCTTGAAAACTCAAGTTAACTTCCCGTTCAAGATGTTTCGAACCATCAGACCCAAGCACAAGCTGTAACACCATGAGCATGTACAGCCGGTCTATTTATAGCTGTAGAGTTTAAATTATTACCCATCGACGTCTTCGCTACCTTCACCTTTGGTTCAAGTGTTACCTAAGTTTCCCTCTCTTCGAGGAGGAGGATGAGGAGCGGTGTTAAATCTGGCCGGGAATTTCGGTTTCTTTGAAAGAAATCGAGTCTTGTTACACATACACACTTGGCTCGGTTGTGTAATTCGAGGTACATATTATGGCTATATGGAGCATTATTGACACACGGTAGAAAACGTCATGCTGCAACCAACCGGTCCTTCACTCGCTTTCCCCAAACTTAATTCCACGTCTTTGTCTTTTCTCGCTGGTACGGTTCACCTGGCACCCTCTTCTTCGCTTCGAAAAGTAAGAGGGACCAGGAGCACCAAGTTTTCCCCCGTCGATTTCACCGAATGTCTTCGACGAACGCAGGGAGCACTTTCTTCAAGTTCGATCAGCTCGCTGTTGTCTTCTTTTGTAGTCAGCTGTTGTACGTTTCGCTATCCTTGATCTGCTGAAAAATGAGATAAATTCGTCGCGAAGAATAGACGATGGACCTTGCTCTCAGGGGACCGGAAGAAAATTTTCGTTATTCTAAGCATATTATGCTTTATTATTATTCTTTTTTAAATTCGAAATAGTGTTTGGTTAGCTGTTTAGTCGATGTTCGTTTTATTTCAACTCTTTCCACAACGGCAGCAAGATTTTCTTTTTCAGTCGTTTTAAAATTTGTCTCACCGAATTGACGTGGAAGAGTGCAGAGGATGAAATTGAGGCTCGAATTAATATGGACGTGCGTTAAAATTCTCAGCGAAAGGGTTAATTATTCTAAACATTTGAGACAGTCCGGTCACCGATGACAATTCTGGCTCCATCGAGGAAACGATCTCCGGTCACAGGTGATCAACGTGGCAGTGGGCGTGTTTAACACTAGGTTTACGCACATTTCTTGTATACACTACTGGCCCAAAGTTTGGAATCACTGCGCATTGCAAGTTGCACAAAAATTTCCGGAAAAACGTCGAGCAGCTTTAAGAATTTTTTAGCGAATTTTGTATCGTTCTATTTATCTCCACAATATCAATATCAAGTCTATGAAAAAATTAGCAGCAGATTCAGTACTGATGAAAATTGGGAGGTGATTCGAAACTTTTTCTTTAAAAAACAACTTATTTTATTTAAAGACAACATATTACACGAAACCTATGTGATATTGTATGTTTATATAAAATTTATGACAAGCATAGGTGGTAGGAGGGAAATGTAAACGGATTCCCCAATTTCCCTTGTGAAACTCGAAATGCGTCAAAATGGCGCGTCCCGTAAACCCAGCGTTAACCCTTCGAACTCCCAATTTTATTTTAAATTTTCTCTTCAATAACTCCCTATTATTCCAAGTATTTTACTTGAAACGTACTTTAAAAGACATTTAGCCGATAGGAGCCAATTTAAACAATCATTTTTACTAATTAGGGGGAGTTCCCCTAGCGCCGGACGCTTAAGGTTTTTCTTAAATAAATCTCTCTACCTGTGCACTCGCGACTGAAACGCGTAGGAAACTTATTTTTATTCCTTTTGTCTTTTTTACTAATTAGGGGGAGTTCCTGTGCACTACCTGTGCACTCGCGACTGAAACGCGTAGGAAACTTATTTTTATTCCTTTCGTCTCCTCTACGAGATACAATTATTACAGATACAGATAATGTCCGGTATTAGGTGCCGTCCGGCGTTAAGGGAACTCCCCGTACATTGAAAGTAGCATTAAGGGTCACATATGTGTGCACCTATTGCTCATCCAGGTAAAAAGAATTGCAAAATATAACACACGTCTAAACTGGCAATTTAAACATTATTTCATTGACACCGATGTCGAGCGACACTCGACAAAGGAGCTCGAAGGGTTAATACAGGTGAATAATATCGAGTAAGTTTGCAATTTGTTCGAAGCTGAGATATATTTGGATATCCGTGTGTGTTCCAGGTTGTAAGTAGTTATAAACGAGAAATATGCTGACGCACCTGTTCGAAATTCATGGCCGGTTTTGCGCCGGTCATCCCCTGGAAGTGATTGTCTCGACCTTCACGCTCACAGCGTGTATCCTGAACATGGAGACCGGAAGTGGACAGCCGCGGGACGGAGCCCTTCCCGCGGCTTCTCATTGTCGGCCTGGTCGGTGTAATTCGGACGTAAGCAGAGCATTGGCGCGAATTAAAAATTCGATGGTTTTCATGTTTGATTACGAGACTATGAACGTGTGTGTCTTAATCGATGGAAATCGTTGTTTCATAATTGTACATTTCAGTTAAACGGAATGACCCGCCGTATGAATAATGCATGATTATTTATTAGGACCTAAATGCAGCTGATGTTATAGTCATGACTATAATACGATGTCTAGCAATACTGTTTAGCTATCACCAATTTCGAAATCTACAGAGATTGGGCTCCAAGTATATTTTAGGTAAGCGAACATTCTGATTGGAAGAAAGAAGGGAGAGATATTGAAAGATCGCGTCAAGTATGAAATACGTGTTTCACGTACAACGATTATGTTATAGCTCGATATATACATATATATATATAACCGGATCTTTTCACGGTACACGTGAAAGCTTTCATTGTCGGTGAAAGTTCATGTCCATGGAAAGCGATAGCGTTTCGTTTCTGTATGAAACGTGACGACAATTAATCGTTCGATTTGCATAAAAATTAGTCGTGATAACGCGAGCTTCTTACGTGATGCTGATCTCCTTTAAGATAGAGCTAATTGTACCTTCTCTTTGGTATTGGATGATATTGGATAAAAATGCTTTAACCAGGTTTTATTTTTGTTTTTTTTTCTCTTCCTAGGTATCGCAGGCCTATTTACCGTATTCTCCAGCGTTGTCTTCACATCGAGCGTGGTGAATTTCGGACGTAGCGATATCTCGGATTTGAAGTACGTTTTCTTGTTGGAAACAGTTTTTTCTTTTACGATCCGAAGAAACGAGCTTTGTTTAATGTTTGTTAAAATTTTCTTTTCCAGGGATGCGTTGTTCTTTTTCTTGCTTATTATCGACCTCTCGAAAGCTGCTATATTAGCACAGTTGGCTTTAAGCTCCAGGAGTCAAGAGGAAGTACGGGCAAATATCGCTCGTGGAATGTCCCTCTTAGGACCAAGTATAACGTTAGATACATTAGTGGAGATTTTACTTATTGGCATAGGATCTCTATCCGGTGTTAGAAGATTAGAGATCCTAAGCAGTTTCGCTTGCCTCGGGGTTCTTGTTAATTATATTGTTTTCATGACGTTCTATCCTGCGTGTTTGTCACTCATTCTTGAGGTAATTTGCACAGTTTCTTTTGTTATCTGTTATTTTTTAACGACAAATTTATGAATCCTTGTATATGCATATTTCAGCTCTCTCGTGGAACTAATACTATGAAACCATTAAGCGCCGACAAGATTTTCATGATACATCCGCTGAACGAAGAGGATCAAAAACCAAATCCGGTAGTGGAGCGCGTTAAATTGATCATGATCGCCGGCCTATTTGTGGTACACGCTAACAGGTAGCACATTTTTACGTTATTTTCTCTTTTTCATCGTGTACACACGTCACGTTTCCGTTTCAAATGAACTTTATATTTTATACATCAGATAACAGGTGACAATGGGAAGCGAGAAACTGACAAAAAGTTATCACGAATCTGCCCCATACGATGTGTATTTCTCGTTTTTTCTCTCTGTGTGTGTTTTTTTCTTCTTTTTTTTACATCGAGTGTACTTCTTGTTTGGCAGTTTTCTTATTCTTAACTTCCACGGGGGTCAGGTTCAACTTATTACACAGTAACAGAAGTATACGTTTAATTCATATTCAATGAATTCCGCGAAAAAGAGATGGTATCTCGACGAGGTTTGGGTTCCTTTAACCCTTCGTATGTTAAGTTAGGAAGCACAGTATACGACACCGCCTCTGTCAAGTTAAGAATGACGATAATTATTGATTCCTTTTTACGCCGAATTCACTGGAATCCGTCGAAATAGGAGCGTAAAAATAGCCCCGGTCGAATTTAGAATCTCTCCGGGGTAGTCGTCTATGGAAAAGCATTGTCGTCCGGACAAACGTACGGTACAATAAAATTAGAATTAGATTAGACGATTTGTGTATATTCAGATTGTTACATCAGCAACGGTTGTTGTTAACATAAGATATTTATTTTAGCCGTTGGCCATTCAAAACTGACGAGACCGAGCACACGGTAGAAGGCACGGTGACGTCCGCGAACTCGCATATGATAGTGAATTCTTACAACAAGACAGAGAATCCATCGGAAGTTAAGGAGTACTTGATGAACTGGTTGTCTGTTAGTGCGGATAATATTGTGATATTGATACTACTTCTCGCGCTAGCGATCAAATTTATCTTCTTCGAGGACAAGGGGGACATAGCGAAGCAATTAAGATTCAAGGAGGATGACGAGACGGAAGAAAAGATCGAAAGTGACTGTGTTACTAGTGATAATATGTGTTTAGCTGCTATGGATATGTCGTTGCGTCAACGATTCGGCGAATCATTGTCCACGATGCGTTCAACGGTCTTTCCTTTATCGGGGGTAGGTGGTTGGATCGAAGTTGAACATGAATCTCAAATGGAGTTCACCGACAAGGAAGTGCAAACCGATGGAAAACAATACAGCGTCGACACGTCGAGCAGCGAAAGTCTATCTCCACGATCGCAAGTATGTAGGTCGCTGGAGGAATGCCTCGAGATATATAAATCTGAAGTAAGTGAATTCCTTATGAATACGGGTGTTTGAATTTACGTTAACAATTTCTGACATTGTACTGTTCAATTCGTAGCTTGGAGCAAGTGTACTGACGGACGAGGAAGTAATTCAGTTGGTACGGAACAAGCATATACCTGCTTATCAGTTGGAAAAAGCAGTTGGAGACATGGAGAGGGGTGTTGGAATCAGGCGTATTATAATTGGAGAAACTGGAAAGTTTCTTGAAAATCTCGTCGACTTGCCGTATAAAGATTACGATTATAGTAAAGTATTAGGATCCTGCTGTGAGAACGTTATAGGATATGTACCGGTGCCGCTTGGAATAGCTGGTCCGTTGCTAGTCGATGGTGAATTGTATCATGTGCCAATGGCAACGACAGAAGGATGTTTAGTAGCGTCTACGAATCGTGGTAGTAGAGCGTTGTTGAAATGTGGTGTAACGAGTCGCGTGGTAGCCGATGGAATGACCCGAGGACCGGTTGTGAGATTTCCAAATATCGTTAGGGCAAGCGAGGCTATGAATTGGATGCAAGATCCCGAAAACTTCCAAGAAATGAAGGATAGCTTCGATTTAACTAGTAGATTTGCAAGATTGACGAAGATTCACGTACGCATCGCTGGTAGACATTTGTTTGTTCGTTTTGTGGCAACAACTGGTGACGCCATGGGAATGAACATGTTGTCGAAGGGTACTGAGAAATCGTTGAACGCGGTGAAGATACATTTCCCCGATATGGAAATATTATCGTTAAGTGGTAACTTTTGCACGGATAAAAAACCAGCAGCGGTGAATTGGATTCATGGTAGGGGTAAAAGTGTGGTATGTGAAGCAGTGGTACCTGCAGATATCGTTACTAATGTGTTGAAAACGTCTGTTCATGCCTTAGTCGATGTGAACATAAGTAAAAATATGATTGGATCTGCTGTAGCTGGCAGCGTTGGCGGTTTCAACGCACACGCTGCAAATATTGTAACCGCAATCTTTATAGCTACGGGTCAAGATCCTGCACAGAACGTTGGAAGTAGTAATTGTATGACTTTAATGGAACCATGGGGATCGGATGGTACAGATTTATATGTGTCCTGTACAATGCCTAGTATAGAGATAGGTACTATTGGAGGAGGAACTGGTCTTCCCGCACAAGGTGCGTGTTTAGCTATGTTGGGTGTTAAAGGAGCGCACGTTCATCAACCCGGTGAAAATGCCAGCAGATTAGCTAGAATTGTATGTGCTACAGTACTTGCCGGTGAATTATCATTAATGGCTGCCCTTACAGCTGGTCACTTAGTTAAAAGTCATCTTAGGCACAACAGGTATGTTGATAGAAAAATACTTTTTTTTTTTTTCCAATTATAAAATGCGAGACATATTTTGCAGTGTATAATCTTATTTCAGATCATCTACCACTGTAACGAATGCAATGACTGTTCCACAAAATAATACAGGAGATAAATTATCTGTGCCAAATGTGTTACAGCCTGTACAAAATGTTTGTAAGGAGTTTGTAGAGAAGTCTTAGCATTAATCACACATGAATGAATTCATCTTTGACTTTTCAGTAGAATATTCTGTATATGTTATGCAACTACTTCAACATAATATTCCAAAGAAGTAATATTTCTTTTGTTTACATGAAAGAATATATACCAAAAAAAAAACTAAAAAAGAAATAGAATTAAATACAGTGAACTGGTTTCAACAATTTTAACGAAAATATAATACAGGTTTTAGATGAGATGTAAAACTGGTTCGGGTACGCTATCGATTTGACTTATGTTTACGAGCAAAGCATAGTATTTCGAATCTGATGGAATGTGTATACTTAATTTGCAATGAAATATGCAGCCAGTGATGGTTGTATAAAATTAATATGGTGCAAACATTATTTTTTGCATATACAGTCATATTTTTACGTAGTGCAATATTAATTTTAACTGTAGTCATTTAGTCAGATTATCATAATGTAACGGTAAAAAAAAAGGATGTAATCAAAGACTGTACATTATGTAGCATATTGAGTACAATCAAACTAATGAATGTTTTCCGTAAACTATTAAAAAAAAAAAATACATATATATATGATGAAAATAAAAATTCTAAATTAATTTTTTGTTTTTAAACATTTAAATTATGCAATGACTAGGTTCATAAAAGATCTAAATGCATTGTGATATGCGAAGTTTTATTAGTACAAACACATACATTTTAATTGAAAATAATTGAACAACGAGATAAAACTAAATAATAAATTAATAAGAAAATTGATTTTTTTGACTTTCTTTAATATCTGTGTACACATTCTGTAAATAGTAAAAAGATCTTAACATAAAAAAATAATATTCAAAAACACAGCCTAGTAAATACATTGAAATACATTAAAATTCTAAGATTCACATTTTTTCATATGTTTCTTCATAACCACAAGTGATGCAGGTGTGTGTATATGTATCATCATCTTCATTATATGTATCTTCTCCAAACTCGTGTGTATGAGATGCTTTTGATGTTTTGTTATACAATGAACTCCGGACTTGCATTCTTAATTGTTTAATCTGTATAACAAAAAGAAACAATAATTTGTTAAGAAAAAGGATATCTGTATTGATATTATTTTGTATTCCAGTATAAGTATAGTACTAAGTTTTAAAAATGTTTAATACCTTTTTATTAAATTTTTTAATTTTAGTTCCTTCTTTCCTAACATCACGTAATTCTTTTTCCTTTATTAATTTTTCTTCTGAACCCCAGACTTCTAGAGCTCTTTGTTCTACTTGTAAGTGCAAATACAATTTCATTTCACCCCAATTTGCATTGTGGGGATTTTTCTTGGTGATACATTTTAATGGAGGTTCTCTTCTATCAAAATCACAATCTTTTAATAAATATTCTTGTTTTGCTTCTGTTTTTGTAATTAAAGAGTGCTTGTCCTCAGGATCTCTGAAACAAAATAACTTGTTATAATACTGTGAAGTTTTTTACATTAGTGTAATTGCTAACTTAAGTAATACTTGTACCTGCATTTATCACATACAGAGAGATCAAATGTCTGCAAAAGATAAGAATCTTTAAACTCATTTTTGCACTCTTCACAATGAGGTAAATCAACAATAATAGGAGCAGGCTCTGATGTTATTTGTAACTAAAAAGAAAAACATTAGGTTTTAAACTCTTTTAACACTTAATAGATTTTGAAATATCATACCATTTGTTCTTCTAAATTGTCATTTTCTTCTATAAGAAAACCTCCTCCACTATCTATTACACGTTGACCTTGAACTTTTATTAATCTATCTTTTACTGCATCTCCATTTTCACTGTAAAAAATTATAAAATTTTTATATTTTTATGGTACACAATAGTTTGTTGCAGCCTACCTTTTTGTATAAGGATGACAAACTACTTTAGATTTTTTTAAAAGCAGTGCTTTTTGGCGATTTCGTTCAGCACGTTCCTTCAAATGCTGAACATTTTCTACTGATTCTTTATCCTTGGAGGAATCATTCACATCTAACGTTGTAGACATTTTTATATGACTTTTTATAATGTGAAATTTATTTTAAAATCAAACAACTTTCCAATGAAAAATAAATAAGTCGTTTACGAGTAATTATTTTCTGACATCGTTTGTTGTACTTGGAAAAATAGGACAGCTTAGATTACTTGTACAGGTTAAACACGTAAACTTCACAGAAATGATTAAAAGCAAATTCATAGTTGTTTTACTACAATACAATTTTCTATATAATGTTTAATGTATATTTTTTATACGAATCTTCTTTCAATTCATAATGCAATTAAACGTAACTGCTGAAATTAATACGATAGAATACATAATATAAACATTCTATCCTATAGTATTATAAAGAATTATTCTACATAAAAGTTTATGAAAAGTTATCAACATCTATAAAAGTTAGTTTGTACTAAATTTAGAGTTTCAAATACACGTTTTCGTTGCACAAATTCACAGTATCGAGTTTGACTTTTCTTTCTTTAGTTTACTGTATCGTTCGCCATTTTTTCTCTTCGAACCCAGTTCAGTATTCCGCAAACTTTAATATCGGCAATCCAATTAACGTTGAAAATGAAAAAAAATGTGAAATATCGCGATTTAATGGTCAAAAGTTTACTCAAATGTTAGAATATAATCCCGAGTTTGTTGTGCATTATAAAACATTATTGTGATTGCAAGTATTTTGCGCCATTTGAATTTAAATCGAAGTAAGTTTGAATATTACGTGTATTTAAAAATGTCATTCTTTTCATTTATAGTTTTGTTTTAAAACGTATAAAAAAGTTTCATTGTAATTGAAAAGTATTTTTGTAATTGAGGTGAATAAACAAGACATATATTCTGCTTACATACTTAAAACTAATTTGGATGGTAAAAAATCAGTTACCAGTGGCTG